CCCCGCTAACTTTACATCACTCTTTTGATCTAACTCGGTGGTCTTCAAAGTGTAGTCTATGGACCAGCAGCAGAAGCACCACCTGGGAACTTGTTAGACATGCAAATTCTCAGGCCCTATCCCAGACCTGTGGTGCAAGAGGTTTGCAATCAGCTGCTAACCTAAAGATTGGTGGTTTGAACTCACCCAGCAGCTCCATGGAAGAAGGGCCTGGAGAACTGCTTCCATAAAGATCATAGCCAAGAAAACCCTGTGGAGCAGTTCTGCTCTGTAACACATGAGTTGGGGGTCGACTTGATGACAGCTGACAACAACAGCCCCAGAAATTCTGGGGGGTGGGGCCCAGCAAGCTGTGTTTATTTTCTTTTTTTAAGTCCATAAGTCGACATCAACATAATGTGTGAATTACTTGCTGACCTTTTGCTTCTGGTTTTTGAAAGTTTGGGACAGAGTGCTGAATATCGTCACATTTGGTCCCTTGAAATCTCCAATAAGCCCAATGTATCTGAGCCTGAAGAACCAAAGATTCGTTTTGTTGCTGGTATCCATGGAAATGCTCCAGTTGGAACTGAACTGCTTTTGGCTCTGGCAGAATTTCTCTGCCTGAACTACAAAAAGAATCCAGCTGTTACCCAAGTAAGAGAATAGCCCGTTTTGACATGCTTTAAAAGGAAAAAAATACCAGTGATATGTTGATATCAAGGTGCCTTTTAAAAAATTCTTAATTCCTTGTTAGGTTTTACACAAAGGCACTTTCAGTGCATTACAAACTTTACCCTTTAAAAGTTTATAATGGACCATCTTCGTACATACTCATTGTCAATAATCTCTTTCTATTGTTTCTTTGTATAAACTAAGAAGCATAGACGAGAAAAATACTAAAGATTTGCAGGGCGTGGCCGGCAAACAAACACAGAAGGTGCATGTTATTTGCATAAAAATACAGTGATAGCCAAGTTTTCTTTCTAAAACTTCTACTCACAGTCTGTACATTCTCACTTTAGGGATTTCTATCCCCAGTGACTTAAAACTGGGACACTGCATTGAAAAATGTAGTGGAAGACAAATAGATTTTTCTTCTCACGTAATAAATACAAATTGGACGTCTTGGCTGCTAAGAAATTCTAGACAAAGCAATATGGCATTGTCTACTTTAGCCAACCATGACTGCAGAAAAGAACTAATTTTGATCCAGAGGCTTGGTCTGGATTATCCAGTCTAGTTCTGTGATGTCTCAGAGAAATGAAGAAAGAGTGTGCAGTCTTCTAGGACACTCGCTAACTGGCACTGTCTCCATTGAACTTAGGAAAGAGGGAGAGAACTAATATTTGTTGTGTGTTTACTGTGTGCCAGGTGCTATACTTGGTACTTTACATACATCATTAATATATTCCTCAACTCTAATAATTATTACATGTCTCCATTTTACAGATGTGGATTCTGAAGCAGACATTGCATAACTTATAGGTTACACAGCTAGTACGTGGTAAAACTGGGATTTAAATGCAAGGGTGTCTCACTTTAAAGCCCGTGCTGTTTAGTTATACCATACCACAAAAAAAAAACCAAACTCGTTGCGATCAAATGGATTCCTACTGATAGCGACCCTATAGGACAGAGTAGAACTGCCCCATAGGGTTTCCAAGGAGCGGCTGGTGGATTTGAACCGCTAACCTTTTGGTTAGCAGCCAAAAGGTTAACCACTGTGCCACCAGGGCTTGGCCTCCCTGAAAAGAAATTTGGAAAGAATCGATGTCACGATTAGGTGAGATGAACTTAAATCAGACTAAATACTGATACCTGAGCCCCACCCTAAAGGCATCAGTATTCCTAATGTTTAGTCAGAATTGCAACCTACTGATGCCACCCATAAATGACTGTGTGTCCTAGGTAAAACGCCTACTGGGAATCTCTAAACTCCTAGTTTATCAGAATTTGCCCCACAGGTCTGATTGGGTATGAACAGTTAGAATAAGACTAGATCACTTTAGACTGCTATTTGTTTTGAGCCAAAGGTCCAAATTACCTGTAGAGCTTAAGAAAAAATACATATGCTCAGATTCACATGACCAGAGATTCTGATTCAGTAAGTCTGTGGTGAAGCTCAAGCGTGTGTACTTTAGAAATACATCTCCAGCAGGGGCGAGATTTAAGAACCAATGAATTAAAGGCTCTCAATTATTTTCAATTTATAGATTATTTCATCCGAGTAAATAAATCAGTGGATCATTTAGTCTGATTTACTATTATAAAAAATGTAGGATGACATATCAGAAACTAGTTCATTCATGCCACATATGTAGATATTAATACATCTGGAGGAGAAATTATTGTGGGTAAGGCAGATATCCCACCTCAGTTTTTGTTGTTGATTTTGGACATGCTGATTTCAACTCTTGTGTCTCATTGTTCCCAAACAAACATTGCCATTTTTCAGATTATACTTCTTGATTGTGATCTTGAAAATTTAGTCTCACTGTTGTTATTGTTCAAAGCCAATGATTAGCAAATTTTTTCTGCAAAGGGCCAGATAGCATATATTTTAGACTTGTGGGGCAAACATTCTGTGTTGCAGTTACTCAACTCTGCCGTTATAGCAGGAAAGCAGTCATTTATCAGTAAATGAGCATGACTTTGTGCCAATAAAACTTTATATACAGTAGCCGGCAGCAGGCTGGATTTGGCTTGCAGACAGTAGCTTGCCCATCACTGTTCTAAGTCACCAGGAGGTCTCTAGGAATTTGGAGCAAGAGAGAATTTTTTCTTTTAGTTCTTCCTTTTAAGTCTCTTTTTACAACAAACAATAATGACTTTCTGTTTGAGGCATGGGAGGGTACCTACTGATTCCACATAGAGCTAATAAACTCGTTAATTTCTGTTTCTGTTTTAGTTGATTGACAGGACTAGAATTGTGATTGTTCCTTCCCTAAATCCAGACGGGCGAGAGAGAGCACAAGAGAAAGACTGTACTTCAAAGACAGGACAAACAAATGCTCATGGAAAAGACTTGGATACAGACTTCACAAGTAAGACTAATTTTTAGACTATTAGCACTTTGTAGACACTTAATTTATTTCTCTTTGCTAGGAGATTGGTTGATTCTATTTTGTAGACGAATAATGGGGGTACTTTCTTTTTTAGGATATATATATGAGGTATAAATGAATACAGACATCCAGAAAACTTTTTGAGTATTTTTCCTTTTTCATTTATGAAAATAATGAAAGTTCTTTCTAAGAAATTCAATCATTGCTACTGAGGTGTTCCATCACTAGTAGTATAGAGATTTCTGTTCCTCTACCTGTCATATATGTTACACACACACAAAATAAATATGTGCTTGTTGATTTGAGGGGCTTGTTTATTGTTTACCTAAATGGGATCATCAACTATACATATTGTTCTGCGACTTTTTTCCATTGAGTATACCATTGTCGTCTTTCCATTTCAGTACTTAGGGATCTCCAACATTTTTATTATTGCATCTTAATATGTCATTAATGTATGGCAATACTTTAGTTTATTCAACTGTTTTCCTACTGAGGTACATTTAGTTTGTTGTGAGTTTTTCAGTCTTATAAACAGTGCTACAGAAAACACCTTGCTTTTTGAAAATCTTATTTTCTTTCACAGATAGATTGTATATCCCCTTAATTATTTTTTAAAGGAAGATATGTCCATATCCTTGTTTTCCAGTAAGAATTTTCTTAAACTTGCCTAGAGTTATTAACGTAGACACATTAATCCTGAAGTATGTAAAACTCAGAATAATCTACCTTCTAGAATGTATCTTTTTTTGCTTGAGATAATGGCTTTTGGAGAAATAAAGTGTTTATCTACAAATTTTGTTAAGTTAGTGTTTTGATTGTGTACAGGTTATATGTTCTTAGCTACTCACTAATATTTTGAAACTTGATATTGTATATTGACATTTCTATTTTTTTAGATAATGCTTCCCAGCCTGAGACTAAAGCCATCATTGAAAATTTGATTCAAAAACAGGACTTCAGTCTTTCTGTTGCTTTAGATGGTGGTTCTGTGCTGGTCACATACCCATATGACAAGCCAGTACAGACAGGTATGTAGAATGTCATTTTACATGTATGGTCTTTAAGCTTAGATAGGAAATTCCAATTGGGTAATGTTTCTTATAAATTTATTTAAATGATGAGTATTTGAGCACACTCCATGAGCAAATAACCAGCCTAAGAATATTATACATGCATAAACAGAATTCAGACAGTTACTTGGAGGAAAGAGGTCAGATCTATTCATGGCCTAGGTTTGTTGCATCTAGCCGTCTTGTCACATCTGTTCAATTTAGTTCCCAAGCATTTATTGAGCAATTATGCTCATAGACATTGGGAATACACAGTGCCTGCCCTCAACAAACCCATATATATCCAAATATTTACACTATTGAGTTGCCTTCCCCTTCTCTAAACTTGGACTGATTGGTTTCACCTTATGGCAAATCAAACAGTTGCTTGTTGAATCTCTCTAGAGCCATTGTATATAGTTATGAGCAATTTGGCTTATGAGGAATATTGTTGTTAGGTCACAGTGGCTCAGAAATGTAGTAAAGCCTATATCAAAACAAGTTTGTATTTTAGTATGGTACCCTGTTATATAAACTCACTATTAGTACCCTTTAATATGAGGAAGATGTTCATCTTCTTAGTCTGATTACCTTGGGCTAAACAGAACTATGTGGTTAATTGTATTAACTCTTCAGTAAACTTGGGTGGGGTGTAAGATTTACTTGAAGGAGAGGAAGATGACTTTTGTATTCATGAAGTTGAACTTGAAGAAAGTCTTTTGGGTTTCTCCACTGACTTCTGAATTATTATTATTATTATTATTTTTGTAGTGGAAAACAAAGAGACTCTGAAGCATTTGGCATCTCTTTATGCAAATAATCATCCATCGATGCACATGGGTCAGCCCAGTTGCCCAAATAAATCAGGTAGCTATTTTCCTATCTTTTGTTGTTGTTTGGGAGGAAAGTCTTGTCTTATTGTCTTGTTAATCCTACATCCCTCAATGTTTTTATAGATGAGAATATTCCAGGGGGAGTAATGCGTGGAGCAGAATGGCACAGTCACCTGGGCAGCATGAAGGTATGCTTTATAGAGCACAGTGAGAATGGAATTACGAATATTGCCCATTGAGTGAAAGAATAGGTGACTTTTCTGATATAAAAATGGGATGGTATCTGCTTTGTGGCTTTCTTAACATGTATAGCCCTTAAATTAACCTCTGACAGCATTTTAATTGGTTGTCCATCCACTTCAAATTAGTCAAGAGTTGTAGCAAAGGAGTGGTTAACTGGTCCATTCACATGGGCAACCAGAAAATTGACTTCATGCCCATTTCTGCCTGCCTTCCCACCTTTCTTTATTTACTAAGAACTTAATACGTGTGAGGCGCTTTGCTATATGGAATATAGTGATAAATAAAATATATCCCCAGCCCATTTTACAAATAACTATGTTACAGAATTGATTGATTTGATCTAAAAGAGAGCAACTCTTAATATGCCATGAGAAATCAAAGACAGGAAAGGTTACCCCTAGTCAGGGATATAACCCTCTCATAATAGAGGAGGTGGCATTTGGGATACAGAGATGGTGAGGCAGGACATTCCAGAAATAAGCAGTAAGGACAGAGGTCAATGAGCAGTCTAGTTTAATTAGAATGTGAAATATAATGGAGAGCAGTGAAAGACAAGAATGGATTTGGACATTGAGTGCCTTATTTTACTAAGGAATGGGAAGCCACCAAAGATTTTTGAGCAGGGATATAGTGACATAATCTGAGTTGTGTTATGGGAAAATCAATCTCTTAACAGTAAGTTAAGATAGATCATAGGAAGGAGAGACTGTGATGTGACGAGACTGGTTTAGAATAGTCTAGACGAGAAGTAATGAAGGCCTCTTCTAGGTTAGTAGCAGTGGGAGTGGAGTCAAGGGATGAAGTTTCAGAAATATCATAGAGGCAGAATTGACGAGAATTTGACCTTGATTATATCCCACCTGAATTTAGAGACCATCTCAAGAATAGATTTGATGCATTGAACACTTAATGACCGAAGACTAGACGAGTTGTGGAATGACATGAAGGACATCACACATGAAGAAAGCAAGAAGTCATTAAAAAGACAGGAAAGAAAGAAGAGACCAAAATGGATGTCAGAAGAGACTCTGAAAGTTGCTCTTGAGCATCGAGTAGCCAAAGCAAAAGGAAGAAATGATGAAGTAGAAGAGCTGAACAGACGATTTCAAAGGGCAGCTTGAGAAGACAAAGTAAAGTATTATAATGACATGTGCAAAGACCTGGAAATGGAAAACCAAAAGGGAGGAACACACTTGGCATTTCTTAAGCTGAAAGAACTGAAGAAAAAATTCAAGCCTCAAGTTGCAATATTGAAGGATTCTACAGGGAAAATATTAAACTATGCAAGAAGCATCAAAAGAAGATGGAAGGAATACAGAGTCATTATACCAAGAATTGGTGGACATTCAGCCATTTCAGGAGGTAGCATATGATCAAGAACCAATGGTACTGAAGGAAGAGGTCCAAGCTGCACTGAAGGCATTGGTAAAAAACAGGACTCCAGCAATTGACAGAATACCAACTGAGATGTTTCAACAAACAGATACAGCACTGGAAGTGCTCACTCGTCTATGCCAAGAAATTTAAAAGAGAGCTACCGGGCCAACCAACTGGAAGAGACCCATATTTGTACCCATTCCAAAGAAAGGTGATCCAACAGAATGCTGAAATTATCGAACAGTGTCATTAATATCACACACAAGTAAAATTTTGCTGAAGATCATTCAAAAGTGGTTGCAGCAGTACATTGATGGAACTGCCAGAAATTCAAGCAGGATTCAGAAGAGGACATGGAACCAGGGATATCGCTGCTGATGTCAGATGGATCTTGGCTGAAAGCAGAGAATACCAGAAAGATATTTACCTATGTTTTATTGACTATGCAAAGGCATTCGACTGTGTGGACCATAACAAATTATGGATAACATTGCAAAGAGCAGAAATTCCAGAACACTTAATTGTGCTCATGAAGAACATGTACATAGATCAAGAGGCAGTCGTTCCAACAGAACAAGGGAATACTGCGTGGTTTAAAGTCAGGAAAGGTGTGCGTCAGGGTTGTATCCTTTCACCATACTTATTCAACCTGTATGCTGAGCAAATAATCCGAGAAGTGGGACTATATGAAGAAGAATGGGGCATCAGGATTGGATGAAGACTCATTAACAACCTACATTATTGCAGATGACACAACTTTGCTTGCTGAAAGTGAAAAGGACTTGAAGCACTTACTAATGAAGATCAAAGACCACATCCTTCAGTATGGATTACACCTCAACATAAAGAAAACAGAAATCCTCACAACTGGACCAATAAGCAACATCATGATAAATGGAGATAAGATTGAAGTTGTCAAGGATTTCATTTCACTTGGATCCACAATCAACACCAGTGGAAGCAGCAGTCAAGAAATCAAAAGACACATTGCATTGAACAAAGTTGCCACAAAAAACCTCTTTAAAGTGTTGAAAAGCAAAGATGCTACCTTGAAGACTAAGGTGTGCCTGACTCTAGCCATGGAGTTTTCAGTCGCCTCATATACACGTGAGAGCTGGACAATGAATAAGGAAGACTGAAGAAGAATTGACGCCTTTGAATTGTGGTGTTAGAGAAGAATATTGAATATACCATGGGCTGCCAAAAGAACGAACAAATCTGTCTTGGAGGAAGTACAACCAGAATGCTCCTTAGAAGCAAGGATGATGAGACTATATCTTACATATTTTGGGCGTGTTATCAGAAGGGATCAGCCCCTGGAGAAGGACATCATGCTTGGTAAAGTAGAGGGTCAGCAGAAAAAGAGGAAGACCCTCAATGAGATGGACTGACACAGTGGCTGCAACAGTGGGCTTAAGCATAACAACAATTGTGAGGATGGCGCAGGACTGGGCAGTGTTTCTTTCTGTTGTACATAAGGTCGCTGAGTCAGAACCAACTCGATGGCACCTAACAACAACAACAGCATGGGATGATAGAGAAGTCAGAGACAAAAGATTTCAGGTCTGTGAGAAAATGAGTTAATGGCATTAACTGAGTTAGGAAGGTCAGAAAAAAGAACAGGTTTTGGGGAAAAGATGGCAAGTTAAGTTTTTTAACCTGTCCACACAGACTTCCTGTGCCTGGATAAATGCTATACTGCGGGCAGTGTCTGTTGTCACCAGCAAGCTCCCGGTTGAGGGTATCAGAGGGCAGGTCCCATACTTCTACCTCCACGCATCCAAGAACAGCAGTGAAGTTCCAGGGTTTAGAGGGAAGCTGGCCCTCTGTATGTGCTTATTCATTCATTCATTTATCCAACAAACCCTAACAAACCCCCTCTACCTGCCACACGCTGTGGGAAGCACTGAAAATATAAATTAGACATAGTCTCTGTCCTCAAAGGACTCACCATCTGTTAGGAGCTGTCACATTTGTAACTGATTATAATACAGAGTGGTTTATTCATATTTGCCATGAAGTACTTTAGAAATTTTTTGTTTACATCACCCAAGTTTTCTTTTTATTCCATTTATTCCTTTTGTTGCATTATAAAACGGTACTTTTACTTATTTATTTTCTTACATTTGTTTTTGAATTTTATATTCCAGGATTATAGTGTCACCTATGGCCACTGTCCAGAAATCACAGTGTACACAAGCTGCTGCTACTTCCCTACTGCAGCACAACTCCCTTCCTTGTGGGCAGAAAATAAAAAGTCTCTTCTTAGCATGTTAGTAGAGGTAGGTCTTTCCTTTTTAACTACAAGCAAACCCCAGAAATATGTTCAATGAAAATCTTATCAGAACATTTTCTTAATCTCTTACCAAAAAATTACTATTATTTACTTTAAATTTATATAAATAGGAGAGTTCTGATCATTTTATATTCCTGAGTAGATGCCATGAGTTCATAAATCTGGAATCTGCTGTAATACAGGTAATTTGGCCTTGCGACTGTTGCAGGTTCTTTAATTTGACAAAGTTACTGCGGCAGGGAACTGTGGTGGAAGGGAAATCACTGAAGGCATCAAAGGATTTGGTTCTAACACCTTAGGCTTTGGCTCTGTCAAGTTCTCTTTTCTCTCGTCTCTCTACCTCTATGACTCTGAAGCAGTGAATGAGTGACAAACGAGATCAGAGTTGGGAGGGAGGAATAAGCCAATCTTGTTTCTTTTTTTGTCCCTCCTCAAGCTACTGACTCTAGAATACCTGGCATCATGAAACATATTTTTATATTTTAAACACTTTTTCAGGTTCACAAGGGAGTTCATGGATTTGTTAAAGATAAGAGTGGAAAACCAGTCTCTAAAGCAGTCATTGTACTCAATGAAGGAATAAAAGTACACACAAAAGAGGGAGGCTATTTCCATGTACTGTTAGCCCCAGGTTTCCATAACATCAATGCTATTGCTGATGGATACCAGCAACAACATTCGCAGGTAAGAAACTCAAATTGAATTGCATCCTGTAAATTGGTATGTTTAATAGTACTTCTATTTTATTTTCAAACTTTTGTTAGAAAGCTTGAGGGGTATAAAGAAATTTTAAAAAGTGTGACTACCTCTTGATTATGTTATCTTTGGTAACAGAAAGGAAACTTTTACAGCTTTTTGTTTACTTTAGATGACAATGAATCATCTCCTTGGTTGCTATAAAGGCATAGGAATGTAGCAGGAACACAATATACTTAAGTGAACTTTTTCATAACTCTGACACTTTATCCTTCTAGGTCTTTGTGCATCATGATGCAGCTAGTTCTGTGGTAATAGTCTTTGACACAGATAACCGGATATTTGGTTTGCCAAGGGAGCTTGTGGTAACTGTATCAGGTAAAGAAATCTTAGTTTTTAGTAGTTGAAGGTAAAACCAGTCTTGACATTTGTTTGAGGATGGATCACGTCCTTAATCACCTGAAGCTAATCACTTTTCTTCTAATGTCTCCTTATCTAAACCTGATTTTCCTGGAACACTGTTCTTCCATATGTTCTCATGGCTTGCCCCCTCATTTTTTCAGGGCTGTAGTCAAATGTCACCCCCACAGAGAGGTCTTCTCTGATTACTCTAGCTAAAATACTACCCCTGTCACTGTCTCCACCCAACTTGCTTCCATTAGAGTACTTACCACTGACACTGTAATATATACTTATTCACTTATTTTTGTATATTCAATCTCTCCTACTAAAACATATCATTGTTAATTGCTGTCAAGTCATTTCCAACTCGTGGCAATCCCTAGCGTGCAAAGTAGAAGTGCTCCATGGGGATTTCAAGGCTGTGACCTTTTGGAAGCAGATTGCCAGGCCTGTCTTCCAGGGCGTCTCTGGATGGGTTCAAACCGCCAACCTTTTAGTTGGTAATGGAGCACTTAACTGTTTGTGCCACCCAGGGACTCCCACTAAACATAAGCTCTATACAAATAAGAGTTTACTTGTATCCCCAGAGCCTAGAACCCTGGTTCCTACATAGTGGGGCTTAATGAATAGTTGTTGAATGAATGATTTGCTTTATATTAAGGTCTTAAGTTCCTTGGACTTTAATTTATTTTAGTTCCGTTTTTCCAGGATCCAGGAAGGAGGAAATACTTGTTTTCCTCGTGGTTAATTTGTGCCGTTGCTTAAATTACTGAAAGGTTAGGAGGGAAAAAAATAGGTGCTAAAATAACAAATACTGTTTATATCACTATTTGACACAAAGAACTTTGGTTCATTTCTAAGTGCAATTTGGACTTCTGGAAAAATACCCAAGTTTTATTTAATGGTGTGTAAGGGAGAGGTCCTCAGCTGAAAGAGAGTGATATATTGGAAACATGGACAAATCCTAGAGCCTGTTGTGGAGGGTTTATTCTTAGCTTGAACGAGATGAAGTGTGAATAACTTAGTGGTTAAAAATACAGCATCCAGGACTCAGCCGTAGTTTAAATCTGGCTCTGCCATTCATTAGCTGTTGTGAAATTTATTACAATTTTATTATTATTTATGTTACTAAGATTCCTATTTTCATGTGGAAATATTTAAAATAAATGAGGGGTTTTGGATGAGATGAAAATTTACTGGAAAAGAAAAGTAGAATTTATTAATTGAAAAAAAAAAACAGATTGCAGAACAGTAGGTACAGTGTAATTTCATTGTGGGAAAAGAAAAAAAATACTTGTTACATATGCATAACGAAAGATCTCCGGAAATATGCACTAGGGTTATTAAAGGTGATCTCTGGGTAATAGAAGTGTGAAGATGTGGACTGTTTTTAATTGTTGGTATTTTTGCATATCTGTGTTTTCTAATTTTGCATACTGTACATGTACTGCTTCTATAATAATAAAAGGTTGTTTCAAATGCATGAAATAAAAATAAAACGAGGGCATATTTTAAAATTGCCATCGTAAATTGCTATCTTTTTATATCCTTGAAGTAGAGCGCCACTCACATGATGGTTATTGTTTGGCAGGCGCCACCATGTCAGCATTGATCCTAACAGCTTGCATTATTTGGTGCATCTGCTCAATCAAGTCTAACAGACACAAGGATGGCTTTCATCGGCTCAGGCAGCATCACGATGAGTATGAAGATGAAATTCGCATGATGTCAACTGGCTCAAAGAAATCCCTCTTAAGCCACGAGTTCCAGGATGAAACGGACACTGAAGAGGAAACCTTATATTCTAGCAAACATTGAAACACACAACTGTGCACATCTCCCATCATAAGTACCAAGCGAAATTACAGTTCCCCTTGGGAGACACTGCGTTAAGAAGAGAGACTGTCTTGCTTCTTCAAAGAGCTTTGGGAAGTTAACTTGCTAAATTTGTATTCTCGTGAATTTGGTTGGCAGTTTTGAACTTCTCTTCCTTAAAGTACTCTTACCTTTTAAGAAAATATCTGATTTCTATTTATGCAGCAGAGATGGGACAGCCACTTTGTTTTTCTTTTTAATTTAAAGATGAGCTGTTTGGAGCTTATGTAATAACTGCATAAGCCATCTAGTGGATGTTGTATTTCGCACATCAGGTGTTTGCTAGTGGCTTTAGCTTTTTTTCTTTATGTTAAATGGCCAAAAGAATCCAGCAACATTAAGGCAGGGACAGCAGTCAGAATTTGACATAAAGCTTTAAAAACTCGAGTTTTCTCAACCTATTGAGGAGTACTTTTCTCTGGTTATTATACAGCTGGAGTTTCTCTTATTATTCAGGTTTAATGGAGGCTGAATTGATTTTTAAACATATATAACATTAAGAAATGAATAAATGGGCTTCCGCTTTGGCTTTCTACCTGTTCCAAGGCTAGATCAGAACTGGTGGGCTGTGCTCTAAGCAGGATTTCACTACCTCTCTTGTAAGGTTTAGCAAAGTTCTAAACCTCTCCATTTTAAGGGAGAACCTGTTGACTTTGTTGTGAAAAATCTAAATGTCCATTTGAATGGAGCTGAGAGAGAGAACTAGCAACAGCTAAAACTCATGTTGCCTATCTTTTAACTCGGTAAAAACCCACAGGTGCTGCTGCTTTTATTGTGAAGCACTAGTTTATGCTAGGGATGCCTAATTCTTTAATATTTCCTAAATTTGAACCTTTTTCTATGTTGTACACTTATGGTTTTCAGATGCCCAGCAATCTACAAGATCTGAATCCTACTGAAAACATCTGGAAGTATGGAAGAGACCTACTTGCACATTCTTAACCTACGTTTGAACATGAAATACCTACACTTCATGCTCCAGCCCAAGCCTGAAATATCATACTCATTGTGAAATAGATTGGCCAGTCTTGTTCACAAAGGCCTCTGCAAGTGATTGATTTCTTTGTCCTGAATTTCATCTGACAGTCTCTTTTTGAGAAACCAATTCTGTTAAAAATTCAGTGGAAAGCATTTAGATATGGCTCCCTCCATTAAAAAAAAAAAAAAAAATAAGCTATGGACTGCCGTGTGATGTATCACTGTTATTGCAAAGGCCTGAAAGATGTCATTTTATTATGTCTGTTGAATCATGGTGTTCAATGAAAATTATGGCTTTTTGTTAGTATGAGTTTTGCCAATGATCTAATGGTTTAATACCTTTGAATGTTTTAACAGCCAAGTTGCTGCTTAACTTGTACTAAATCAGGAGATTGAAAAACTTCCTCTCATCTTTTCAAATTGTATTCTATATCCAGTAATGTATCAGTCATCCCAAAGCCTTCATGTAGAATGGTTTACCACCACCTAGGCCATTCAACGAAGTTTTGTGTGGCATGCATCTAAAGTGGCTTATAAAAAGAGATTTGGGTTAGCAGGCCTAATGAGGTCATGACACTTCTTAGTATCTATGATAAATTTGAGTGGTTCAAAGTTAAACCATTCTATTGTTAATCGTGATATTAGCAACTCTAAATTCTGAGCCTTTGCCGCCTCCCTCTCCCACCACCACATACACAGAACAGAGTTTGTAGGGTGCTGATAGTTAATGAAATAGACATGACTTCATTTCTCCTAATAATACTTTATGTTTTCTTTAAGGGGGTAGTGTGGTGGTATTGCTCTTTTTCAGCTTTATTTTTAAGAGTGCTAAACCCACAAGGAGCCTAAAAGTGGCTGCTTTGCTTGGGACATTTCTGCTAGAAATGAAGCAAAGTTGATGTGACAGCCTTTACTTTATAATATTGGTCTTCACTGGAGGATACCTTTTAAATTTCTCTCTTAAATTAAACATTCTTTAACTGTACATCTCAGTGGCTGGAGGTCTTGCCTTTTAAGCATGTGTAAAATTTGTTTAGAAACAAACATGCCATTGGTTCTTTTAGTAATTTTTCCTGAAAAGAAAACCAAACTCTGCTATAATTCTTGACTCTTTAGTGAATTTCTAAATAATGCATTGTGCTGGAAAACAAGGCCTTCTCAACTGGTGTTACCTATTAACATGAATGTACAGGATCCATGACTACTAAGTCTGTGTTCTCAGCCCTGCTTTGTCTGTGTTCTCAGCCCTGCTTTATCTGTTATTTGTGGATCTAATCTAGTTAGATTAGATCACATTAACTGCCTAGACATTGAAGCCATATGGGATGGGAAATGCATTTCTTCAGTGTTTCTCCTAGAGGCTTTCCATTTCCTTGGAGTCATGGAGGCAAGTAAGTATTACAGTATTAAGAAATTTGCCCAAATCTGGATTGTGCCTTTCTTTACTCACAAGGCATGGTTTTTGTCCTGGTGATCATTTTGTAAGCCTTCTTCCCTCCCGGCTCCTTAATAAAATCAAAGTGATTGAAGAGGTGATGCTCAAAGTGTCTGCTTGTGTAAATGTTTTTGTACTGATTATATAGTTCAGTAAGATGGGCCCAAGTAATTTCTGAAGAAAGGACCCTTCAGTTCTGATGTATTTTGCTGAGTACTTGGATAGTGATTGGCATCCTGTCCATTTGAGGAATGCTTGAAATTCTGACTGAAGAGAATTTGCCTTGGAACTTAATCACCCTCCAGAAAAGAAATGTATTGTCTGTTTGGCCCAGTGTGATTGATTGGTTAATCTTTGGTGAATTTCACCTGAATGGGGCTTGCTAAATTAGTGAATATTGAACGTAAAAGCTAATTATGAGTTGACAAATAATGCCTGAGTTTATTGTGTTCCTGCGCTTAACACCAGGTTATTCAGTAATCATGACTTGATCCTTCATTTACATTTATTCTCAGCATTAAATAATTTTATCTTGTTTCCAGAAATGCACTTGTGCCAGGTTTTGTCCCTGTGGTATTAAAGAATTCTTGACTATGAATGCTGTAATCATATCCTATGTTATGGTTCTCTGGTGGAATTGTTTTCAACCGTGGCAACTCGGCATGTCCCCTATACTTTGCTTTATTGTTATTACTAAAAATCCCACTATGGTTGATGTTCAATAATTTTCTGCCTACCAACTGATAACTCTTTGGATTTCTGATTTTAGTTAAACCAGATTTTTGTAGGGTGATTAGGGTTCTTGATTAATGCCAACTGAACTTGGATTTCCAGTTCGTGAAGAAATCTCACCCAACACCCATTTCTCCTACTTTTTAGCAATAACTAACATTCCACTTGACTTTCAGAATATTGTTCTGGTTGATTTTGATTTGACAGAATATACTATGAAATTTGAAAGTAGGTTACCTTTTTGAGGCAATTGGATATTAAGTATGTAAATACATATGATCATGATTTTTATAAATGGCATAACATGAATGTACTACCTACATTCTTTGCTGGCCATGCTGCAGTTTTTCTGGAGGTATGACGTGGTATTTTTTTATACTCAGATTAAAAATCAACTTTTCACTTCTCCATTTTTTCCGAGTGACACCCCCCAGCTCCATAGCAATCTATAGCTACTTACATGGTGTGACCACCACCCATTCATCTCAAGTGCTTCAGTTTTGGGTTTATTTCATGCACTGTGCCTTCAAAATGAAATTTTTAAAAGGGACTTTAAGTGAAGTTGATGAATAGTAGTTTTAAAAAGTCAATCTGTGTAATATATGTGAAATCTAACTGTAATGAGGTCCATTCTGTTTTTTTATATGTAAATAGATCTACTAATCCTGTATAAAAGTTATTTTATGATGTTTGTCTTTCTTTGTGTTTTGTCTCATGATCTTTTTTCACCAAAACTAGTAGACCAAAACAAGTTATAGTTCTAATTTGAAAGTTATATATTTAGTTTTTCTATTCTATAGGGGAAAAATAGTGCCAGGCTAGGAATACAGGTGTCACTTGCAGATTATTTCTGTCTTCATGAATTGACTCGAAGTAAAACTATGTTTTTCAAATAATCATATCATATAGTGGTGATAGTTCTTTTTTCTGGTCTTGTTGTTGTTAGGTGCCGTTGTGTCAGTTCCGATTCATGGTGACCCTGTGTACAACAGAACGAAACACTGATTGGGGTCCTGTGCCATCCTCACAATCGTTGTTATGCTTGAGCCCATTGTTGCAGCCACTGTGTCAATCCATCTCGTTGAGGGTCTTCCTCTTTCTGGATATAGCTCAGCTGAATTAATGTATATCAAATCACTCCACAAGGAACACCACAAAGTTGGCCATTGAAAGGTTTATGTACTCATTTTAAACTTATTTGTTAAAAAAATTATTCTTTATACAGGTGAGGTCCAGTTAGACTAATGTGTTCTGCCACTTTTATGCACAGTAATGATGAAGTCAATATCCCCCATATTTCATTTAGCAACAATTTATTGACCCTGCTACTCCAGTAGGAATCGAGAAAGCAAAGTTATATAAGAAACACGGGCTCTTGCTGACAAGGAACTCATAGCCCAGGCTAGAGAAATGAAAATGGAAATAAGCTATTCTTCAGTAGTGATTGGTTCCTCTAAAAAGAAAGTGTCTCTGCTCTAGAGGAAGCATAGAGGTTCAAGCAGGGACTTTGAAGTTGGAGCAATCTGTGATTAATTCCTGGCTTTGCCACCTGCTTCCTATGTGACCTTGTGTTGCACAAGTTTCTTACCTTCTCTGAGTTGCGATTTCTCTCCTGATTAAGGAATAATATCAAATAGGATTGTAGTGGGAATGAAATGAAAAATAATGTTAGTGAGGGGTTCAACATATTTGGCTTAGAACTGAACACCCATGGTAATTACAGTCATTTTCCTTCCTTTTCTGTTTCCTGATCTCCTTGAAAGGAAGTTTTTGTTTTTCAAATATATGAACAAACAAAAATCTGTTTACAGATAGTGTTTTTTTTTTTTAGGAGAAATTTCTAGATACCAATACTAAAAAAAAATTTTAAAACCATGAAGTTTTTCATTATACAGTTCAATAGATGGTCTGTAGGATGGCAGTAAAGTTTAAATTTTGCCAAATGCTTCATATTTGTTTTTAGATGAAATTAAGTTGTATTTATGCTTCATCAATGAAAACAGCCTTACTTAAGGGCTATAGGTAGGTTCTCCAAAGTTTGAAAGATTTTCCTGAATTTCTGTCAGGAGTTTTCCAATAACTGAATCAAGAGCAGTAATCCACTTACTGTTTTCAGTTTTTCAGATTTCTAGGAACTGATTGTTCTCAGCAAAATAAACATGATGTGCAGTGGTAATACACTACTAAATTATGAAAAGTGCCACTGTGTAGGTCCTCATCTCTTACTTGCAGTTAGAATGCAACTGATTCTGTGCTATTTATTTCTAACCTCAGATAAATACACCGTTAAGTATTACCGACAATTTAAAAGCAATGAAATTGGCAAATAAAGCCCAATTTTAACTTTAGTATCACGATTTGTACCTACATTTAATCAGTGGAATGTTAAAGGCAAGCATACTATTTCTTTGGCCTTTTGGCTGGGGTCAAAAGGCATCCTATTCCCTAATACATTATAAATAAATACAGAAGAGATGAGCAAGAATGAGATAAACTGGCATATGCTGAGTAGAAAGCTATTCAAGTTTGAAGGCCAGCCTGGAAGAAGATTAAGTCAGAAGGGTGAGAAGATTTACATGATTAGATTGAAGGCATAGTAGTTGGAAGTAGGGTTAAATGGAGTGGAATGCCTCCAGGTAAATAAAGTTGGACAATTTATTGATTCATTTAGAAGCAATGAAGAGGCAGTAGTAATGTAATCAAAGCTGCAGGTGGAAAATAAAAACATCAAGTGAGGAAATTTAAGATGAAACAAGTAGAAAGATTACAGATTAAATAGTAATTGTTATGATTATATGGATTATGCTGTATGGTTAAGGTGTCATTGAGGTTAAGCCAAAGTGAAGGAGTATCTTGTTGCTGTATCTGAACCAGAGGAGCCCTGGTGGTGCAGTGGTTAAGCGCTTGGCTGCTAACCGAAAGGTCAGTGGTTTGAACAGAGCAGTTGCTATGTGGGAGAAAGGTGTGGCAGTCACTTTCCATAAAGATTTACAGCCTTGGAAACCCTATGGGGCAGTTCTACTCTGTCC